ATTCACATTATTCACATTATTCACATTATTCACATTATTCACATTATTCACATTATTCACATTATTCACATTATTCACATTATTCATAGGTTTATGCATCCCAGCAAATAATATTACATTTGTGGTAGGATTAAGCGAACGACTTGCTCAATCCGAACCACATCTTACGCCTGATTTCCTAACAGAATTTTTTGTAGGATTTAACAAATCATCCACACAATTGAAACATTTATGTCTTCAGTATGTGACACCATGGTTATTAAATTTGGCTCATTTCAGTCGTAATGATCAAAAAAATATTGAAAAAACTCGGGAACTTATCAGAAATTTAATAGAATTAACCGTAAAAGAGACAGAGGTATTTCATAAATTTAATAAAATTCTTTAATCATTTATTATTATTATAATTAACTTTTAATTACCTTTTTTTTCATTAGATGTATGCATCTATACAATCTAAAGTGTGGAATACTCTAGGAAAAGTTGATGAAATTTCTAATTTAATAATTGAAGAATTCGTTCATTATGCGGTAATTCATGGAATAAATTCACCACAATCAGAGATTGTGTCTAATACAATAGTTACCCTATCTTCAGTGAATATTCGTGGCAAAATTATAGCTAAATTACGAAAAGTAAGATATTAAAAATATATATATATATTGTGTTGTTATTATTAATGAATTATTCACGATAATTATATTAATTATATTCTTTATTTTTTTTTCCTTATTTTATAGGTAATATCAAGAACATCCTTAAAATCTACCAGAACTCTCACTGATAATCAATCATGGCCTGAAATTGCTGTATTAATCAGATTTAATTTGATGCTTTCATTTAATAATCGAAATGTTCAACTTTACCTTCCGGAACTATTTTACGTAATTTCTATATTAGTGGCCACTGGACCTCCATTGATACGAGCATCTATTCATGGGTTAATAGTAAATTTGGTTCAATCATTGTGTACTTCAATGCCATTAAGTGAATCAAGTATTAAAAGATTAACTTTATTATTGACGGAATTGTCTGAACCAAATTTTCGATACTTCTTTGGATTAAATAATGTTCCTGGTAATGCATTTGTAATCACTCCCGAGTCAACTCGCGATTTACCAGATACTATGCCACTTGCTTCACTAGAAAAGATAGTTCAAGCATTATTGGAAGTTATGGTTTGTGGTGCCGGATCAGTTGGTAAGTATTTATAATAGTTATAATAACAAAAGTTTTTATATAATTATTTGATTTGGTTAAAAATAAATTATTTACAATATTTTATTTTTTATATTAAATTTTTACATTAGACATGTCAAACGCATGGAGAGCTCGTTGGGTGGGACTTGTGGCCAGTACAGCTTTCCAATATAATCCTGCAATACAACCAAGGGCATTCGTGACACTTGGTTGTTTGGCACGTGACGAAGTCAATGATGATGATTTACTATATCAAATATTGGTAGCTTTAACAGGAGCATTATCACATTTTACAGAGAATGACTGTGCTCTCATAATAAGTATTATAATGTGTTTGACGAACATTGTAGAAAATTTGCCAGCCGAAAGTCGATATTTACAACCAATGTTTTGGTTAGCCATATCTCTTGTACAAATAGGACATATCCCAGTATTTCCAAGTGCAATTAATTTATTACACGTAGTACTTAAAGCATTAGATTCCAAAGGTTTCTTTGGTAACGAAGACATTGCAACAGTTTTATTAAAAGCGAGAAGACCTTTGGAAGATATTTCTATTCAAATGGATAAAGCCGCCGGGATAAATTATGAACATTTTTCATTCGCAATAGCTGCAACTTTACTAAAAGGATTAAAGAACCCAGTGACAAAAGCTAGTACGCAAGCAGTATTAACAACATTTTTAGATATTGCATCTAAAGGTGTAATAATAAATGAGAATATAATTAATTCTTCTATGTTAGGATATTTGGCAGCTTTATTGCCTGTCTCGGCGAAAAATGCTGATATGAAAGAATTATTATTACAATGTGGAATTAATGATGTAGAAATTGATAACTCAGAATTGGGGACAACTTATTATAAAATATTTGAGAACCTCGAAATTCCCGATAATCAAACTGCATTATTGTTGATAGCATTGATGGTTGCAATGTTGCAAACCGCAGAACATGAACCAGAAAGATTGTTTCTTTACGGATTTTTAGCAGAGGCTGCTTTGGCAATGCATGAAGTTTTTGCTTTAGTGTATGTTTTTTTTTCAATTATTTTTATTTCAGTTAACATTTTTTTTTTTTTTTAAAAAAAAAAAAAATTATTATTCCTTAACAATGCTTTTCTTTCATTAATTTCATTAAATAGTTACGATTTTTTATTACCAAAGATGGCCCAAATTATAAACAGTAGTGAAACAATACCAATTCTTGATTCTGTTCAATCAATTTTATATACAGTCGTTTCATCAGAATCACAATCAATCAACAATAAAAACAAGATCCTCCCAGGTACATCACGAAACCATTTACATTCCTATCTAGAAGAAGTGGGATTTCCTAATTTGTTAGATTGTGGATCATTCACAAAGGTGACAAAAGAAAGCATGAAGATCAATGCCACTTACGCAAGTAATTTGGTGGACAGGATAATAAAGTAATGATAAATGAATAATGTATCATTATTATTGTAAATAGCAACAACTAAAATATTTGATATATTTTGTATAAAAAAAAAAGTATTTATGAAATATAATAATTATAGAAAAGTACTACAATCCTAAATTGCATTCATTACTTTATTATTTCATATTTGCATTCATTACTTTATTATTTTCAATTCTTTTCATTATCGCATTCATAGCTTAGTTATTTCATATAAAAAAAAATTTATTTGTATTATTAAAACATTTATGATCCACATTTTTTTTTTTTTAATAAAATTTGACACACGTATGTAAAGTGTGTAATGTGTAAGAAATTTATAGAAAATTTATTTGAGACATATATTCATAACAAATAAACTCCTCTTCATACATGTTATTACACACAATATCAAGTTCTAAACATGACTTTTTCAAAATGACAAAACAACTATCCTTTTGTGCTTGCAATTCCTACAATGATTATGATATTTGAATTGCAATTATACCATATGTTTAACTGGTAGGCAAAAAAAAAACTATTTCTATATATTTCCATATTTATTCATCTCGAATGGAGTGGAGTTACGGGGAACCAGCAAGGGTATACCTTGTGTTATTGGCATTGTGGCAAAAAGGAGGAAGGGGTTAATGGTCAGACAAGAGGATAATGGAGGTCCCAGAGAGAGCAATGTTGGCCGTCACGTTCGCATCTCTTCCTCTGGTGGTGTAATTTAATAATACCTGTTGCAATACAAAAAAGAAAATTTTAACAATAGAGTCTATTGTTAAAATTTTCTTGATTCTCCTTACTGGGTACCGGGGATGAACACATTCTATTGTGTCATGCAAACGCACACTCGTTCCTCATTCTTGTGGGCACAATGGAGAATGACTTTGGGAAAACAGAATGAAGAGTTGAACTCATTGACAATTGTAACATTTCCATAAAGCCTGTGTTGTGTCCAAATTTCTTTCATTCCTTGTTACGAGTATACTTTAATACAGCTGTTGATCTCTTGCCAGTATCCAACGCAGTGAATCAGTGCAAGTTTTGGCACATCTGGAGCATGGGCATGAATATGTCACCTTTCTTTCGCAGTGATTTTGCCATACACCCTTTTAGTTCAAATCTCCTTCTTCCAATTCTCTTTTGCTAGTTTTTTTTTTTTGCTGTCTCCTCGTCTACACCTTATTTTTGTCTCTGCTGATGATTGTTTTGATGTTTCTTCAAAGAGTTATGTTATTAATAAGTGATAATTTTGTAAGGTTTTGGAAGGGGATTGACATTGAAGGCATCTGTCCTCAATAAACACAAGGACTTGGAAGAGAAATGCTCTTTAATCACTGGAAGTAAATTCATCTATTTTGGTGACAAACAAAAAGTTAAACAACTCAACAAGGGATTGAAGAGACAATAATATTGAATAAACCTTACTCTTTCTATGTAATCCTCATTTCCACTTTTTTTCAATCCCAGTGGTTGTAATAGTATTTATAGTTTCAATTGCTCGCAGAGTCTTGTTTAAAGAGTACAACAAACTTTTAGTCCTTGCAAGTGCCCTTTCTGACTTGAAAATTTTTACTCAATCCAAGTCCCATATTAACTGCTTTATTGAATATATCCGATCATTGGACTAAAAAAAAAGTTAAAGATACATGGCATAATAACAAAAAAAAATTAAATAAAAATAAAAAAAAAATACTACTAATAATAATAATACTAATACCAAATAATATCAATGATAATAATACCAATCTTTAATGTAAAAATTATTATTTTATTTAAATAATGTAAAATATCTTTAATACAACTATTACTTTTCTAAATTATTATTAATCAATTTCTTTAAAAAAATCGTTTCTAAATATTTGAATATACTTAATTATAAAAATTATTATTAGAAATTAATTTTGATTTAGAAACTGCCTAATTAATCACTTTTATGACCTTTTCCTTCTGTTAAAAATAAATATATTGTAGTTTTAAAGCAATTATATTTTTATTTCTAAGATCTTAAAAAAAGAATGTTAAAAAGTCAAATTTCGTCCATATGGAAAGGAGAGAAAATGAAAATAGAAAATAATTGATAGTAGATGTTAAAAAAACATATAATAATTAGATTTTCAATTAACTAGAGACGAAATATTGAATTTATGGTTACACAAATTTTTATTATAAAAATGATTTTTGACATGCGTCATGTTTGATATATTTTCTTTAAATATGACACTACCTTTATTAAAAGTTAATTTATTTTTTAGGTAATATTCTTATTGGTTTTTTTAAAAAAAATTTTTTGATATCAAAAAAATATTATTTAATAAATATTATTAAAAAAATGTCAAAATATTATTAAAAAGTGGAGGGCTAGAAATATTATTTGATAATATTAAACAGAAAACTGTAGAAATATCATCATCAATGAATCCACCAAATCAGACAAAGATGGAAGATTTGGTTTGTATTTAAATATAATCTTTATTATTTTAGATTCAATATTTGAGATATCAATGATTAAAAAATAAATTTATTAATATATATGTAATGTATTTGAATTAAAGATTAAATGGATAAGAGAAAATTTAATTAAAACAAAACCTGAATTGTTTATGACTGGAAATACAATGTAAATTATTATTTATTATTTAATAAATTAAAAAACTATTTTAATAATAATATTAATTAATTAATTTCTATTAATCTAGTCGACCAGGAATATTAATTCTAATAAATGATGTGGATTGGGAAGTAGAAGGTGAATTAGAATATACAATTAAAGATGGTGATAACATTCACTTTCTATCAACCTTACATGGAGGTTAAATAAATATTAGTTATAAAATTTTTGATTATTATTTTAAAAATAAATTATGACCCTTTATTATCAAATACCTTTTATATATATATATATATTTCTTGATAATTTAGAAGGAAAGATTAAAATCTAGCAAAGGAAAAAAATATTATTTCTGTTATAGAAAGATAATGACAAAAGATCAAAATAAAAATCAAGCTTATCATTAGAAGAAAAAAAAGTTAAGCCCTGGCCTGGAATGGAAAAGAGAAAAGACGGAATAAGATATCTCAATCTCAATATATACATTCAAAAGAAATTAATACTCAAATCATATGGAAACAATTTTTAAATAATAATAATAATATTTATTTAATTTCTCGAAATACACTTGATTTCACCTTTAGAAATGATTTAAACACTAGAATCATATAATCCTTGAAATTCTTGCCAATATATAAATTCTCATAATCAAATCAACTTAAGAAGTACAAATATTGATAAAAAAAATTTTTTTTAAAATAAAATAAAATATCAAATAAATAAAAATTTCAATTCATATTCGCATCCAAATCTGTAGTTTCATCTGAAGGTGGTGCATTATATCCTAACTTTAATTCCGGATATTGCGAGGGTGTTTTTGGTAAAACTGGTCTCAACCATCTTGTATCCAATGGGACTGAAGAACCCATCCATACTGCACGATCAGTATGATCCAATAACTGATCTTTAGTCAAGGGATGTATGAGCACTGAATGAATACCGCGATGAAGTATGAACCAAGAATACACTCGGGAAAAGTATTCTTTAGGACACCAAACTTCATATGAACCCTTTTTTAAAAAAATCTTATCAATAAAAGAATATACGATTAATGAAATAATTAATAAATAAATAACAATACATACAATAGTATGAGGACCAACGGGAGTAAAATTAGTGATGCGATAAGGTACTGGATGGAAGAATCCTTTATTCGTTAACTTAATAATTTTTTCTCGTAATTTCACTGCTGAGTCTCGCTGTTTTTGATTATTCTATTGATTTTATTATTATCATTTTTAAATATTAAACGAAAATATTAACATTCCAACATTCCTTCTATTTAACAAAAATAATAAAAATCGATAAAAAAAAAAATTATGATTTAGTACCTGAAAGAAATAAACATGAAAATGAAATTCCTTAATTTCTTCTAATTCTTCTTCTATCGGTTCTCGTTGAACTTCAACAGGATTTGATTGTTCCAAGGTCTCAAACTTGGATAATTTGTAATCTTTTATCAACATTTTTTTTTTTTGAAAATTGAAAAGAAATTACATTGTATTTTTGTATTTGTAATAATGAATTAATAATTCTGAAAGTTATTCACTTATTCAATTATGTCAATCATGGTTGCACAGGCAGAACACGTATAATTTGTATTTGTATGTCGATCATTGGATACTATTTAAATATTTAAATAAGTACTCAGTATTAGTATGTATTTTTCCTAATTTAACTTCCAAAAGCTCTTGTAACAATTTAATTCAAATTATCCAATTTCCATTTTAAGAACTAGAGAAAAAGCTGAAAAAGATAGGATGAAAACTTTAGAAAAAGAATCAGTGAAAGATAGAGAAAGCAAAAAAAGGATAAAGGGCGAGAACTAAAAAGTTAGAGAAAGGTGGAGGAGGAATTAGTAAAAAATAAAAAGAGAACAGAAAGAAAGCAAAAATCGTAAAGATATAATGAGAGATATATAGAAAGAAATATGGAGATGGATATAAAGAAAGGAATAAAGCAAATAGAGAGAAGTAAAGAGAGCAGAAATATAGAGGAAAAAAAATATCCCAAAAGAAGAAGAGGAATGAAGACATCATATACAAAATGTATATAATATTTTTTTTGGGTTGAAAACAAAACGCGTTAATAAACGCGTGACAAATTTATACAGATTATAAATTTTAATTCATTAAATGGTAAGCATGCATGCACGACGATATTACCGAATAAATATGTAATGTGTGACACTTCTGACTTTCTTCTGAGATTGACAATGATTATGATTATACAATGACAAAAAACTGATGATCATTTCGCTTATATAAATTTAAGATCCGAATTTTTTTTTTTTTTCTTTTTTGTAAAAAAATGTTGTCAGTAGCTGCAAATTCACTCTCATCGTTGCCTTCAACTATAAGAGATTCTTTTTCTAGAAATAATTCTGATAATGAACAATCTAAAGAAATTTCAGGAGAAGAAAACAAATCAGATTCTTCCAATGATTCAAACGGAAATTCCCCTCCCAGTTCTCTAAAGGTCACTCCACCCTTTATTGAGGAAGGTTCACAACAAAACCTTAATGTGGACGGTTCTTCAAAAGCTTGGCAGGGAAATTTGGCTGGACTTAGACCTCCAACAACTAATATAGACACTACGACCATAATTACCAACTCGTCAGGTTCTCCTACTTCGTTGAAAATTGAGAACTTCGACCTTAAGGATGACCAAATTGGGACTCCAACAGTTGAAGATTATTCTCCTCCAATTCCTTTATTAAATAATGCAAATGATTATACAACATACAAACCGACACAATTATCAGAAAATAATCCTGGACGTCGTTCTTTTAAGTTACCAACTCCTAAAAATTCTGGAAAAGTAAAATTGAAGAAAAAACGTAGTGAAAGTAGCATTGCAGATGAATCCCCATCTATAGATTCTCCGGATTTGAGTGGTCTTTCTCCAGCAAGTCCCAAAAAAAATGCTGAATTTCATGCTTTATTTAGAAGTGTTCCTGAAGATGATTATCTTATTAATGGTAATGATCAAAAGATCACCATGATTTCAATAATTTAAAATTTTTAATAAATTATTATTATTTTTAGATTATGGATGTGCGTTACAAAAAGAAATTCTTGTACAGGGACGTTTATATGTCTCGACGAGTTATGTGTGTTTTAATGCAAACATTTTTGGATGGATTACAAATGTATGTATTTATATTTATTATATTTTATATTTATGTATTTTATATTTAGGTTATATTTTTATATTTAGGTTATATTTGATGTTATGGTTAAATATTTATTTTTAAAGGATCATGAATTAAATAAGAAAATTTTAATTTTAGTTGGTAATAGCTTTCTCGGATATCGTTTCAATTGAAAAAAAGACGACAGCATTTGTAATTCCAAATGCGATTTTGATCTCTACACTTCATGCTAAAGTGAGTTAATAATAAAAAATTTTTGTATCATATTATTCGAAAGAATTTATAATTTTATTTCTTTTTATCATAGCATTTTTTTGCTTCTTTCATAACAAGAGAGAGTACATATGAATTATTGCAAACAATATGGAGAAGAACTCATCCCACGTTAAGTATTTTATCGGCTGAACTTGAATTAAATAAAAATAATAATGAAAATTCGGATACGTCTGTAGAAACATCAGCAGAAAGTAATGAAGGTAAAAAAAAAATAATAATAAATTTCAATAGATATATTAATTAAATTAGGAAAAAAAATTTTAATGGGAAACAGAAAAAGGTATTATATCTTTTATCACTAATACCACATTCGACCAGGTAAATCGACAAATGGTAAACGTAAAAAAATTGGATCACTTAACTTAAAATCTGACACAAAGAAACTTGGTAAAGGATCAACATCATCTGATGAGAAAGATATTAGAGAAAAAGATCAAAAGAATCTTGGTAAAGGATCAACATCATTAGATGAGAAAGATATTAGAGAAAAAGATCAAAAGAAACTTGATCAACTTGAATTAAAGGTTCATTCGCTACCATCATCTCCTAAAAAAAGCGAATTTTATGACCATTTAAAATCAAAAAGTCAAAAAAGACATCGGCCGAGATCAAAATCAGTAGAAACAGAAACACAATCACCAATTCTTGACATTGCTCCTATTTCTGATTTCCCAACTTCAGAATCCAATAGTACAAGTAATCAATCGATATCCTCAAGAACGCAATCTCGTAAACCGAATATAAAGAAGCGAAAGTATCCAACCCATTGTGCTTGTTTAAAGCATTATGACAATGTGTCTTTGGATACAACGTTTAAGGGAACAGTCGAAGAATTGTATAATTTATTATTTGTTAGTGATTTTTGTAAAAACTTTGTTATTAATAACGAAAAATGTCTTGGTAAGTCATTAAATTACATTATTTATGTTAATTCATATTATTAAATGAATGGTATTTCATGTAAATATCAACTCTTTTTTTTTCCAGACGTTAACTTTGGTGAATGGAATATAGTTGATGGAAAATTGATACGGCATTCAAGTTACATCAAACCATTGAATAATTCAATAGGTAAAAATTCTGTTATTTAAGAGCACTCTTGATTCCTTAATTTTTTTAAAAAATTTACTCTTTTCGGTAATTTCAGGTCCAAAAAGTACAAAATGTTGTATCACGGATGAAACTTTGCATAAAGATTTTGACAAGTAAGTATTAATGAGATTTAGAAAAACTTAAAAAATACTTTACTTATATTTTTTTCATAAATTAGCTACGTTGTAAATTTATCTACTACTACTACACCAGATGTACCTTCTGGTGGTAGTTTCAGTGTAAAGACCAGGACATGTTTTATGTGGGCAGGACCTAATGAAACTAGAATCATTACCACATGCGCAGTTGAATGGTCAAAAAATAGTTGGTTAAAAGGTATTGATATCCAAAGCTTAAATTCGATTTGTTAAAGACCTTTTTTTTTTTTATTGAACTCTCTATATACTACAATATATATTAGTGCCAATTGAAAAAGCCTGCATTGAGGGTCAATTGAGTCATTGGAAGAATCTTTCACTAGCTATCAAAAAATATATTGCTATGCATCCTTCAGAGTTCCAAGGTGCCAGCTTATCACCTGTACTTGGGGAAATAGATCTATTAGATGAAAAAGCACCACTTAAGGAACGTACACGGTCTGCCGCAATGCCACTAGATACAACTACTCTCGAACAAAATGCACCGACTACCGGGCAACAACAAACTGCCAATATATGGAATGCTGTGTTTGAGATCCCAAATGTTTTGTTTTCAATTCTAACCCCGATGATACAAAATATTTCTATTCCCTCAACCAATACCATAATTATATTGGCTATGTTGTTTATGATGATATCCAATCTATATAATTGGTCACTTTTACGGGATATTGGACAGAGACTTGATAATGTAGCTAGTAGTAATATACCATTGTACGGAGGAAGAAATGAATTTCTTCACTATGATGATCTGATTGAAAGGGAAGGGGAAGTTCTTTGGAAATGGCTTGCTGAAAAGTCTAAGAAAGATACTGGTGGTGATATTAATCATTCAGAAGATGAATTATCATCATCAAAATGTCAAGTTGATGGTTCATCTTCATCTTTTAACTGTGGGAGTGGTTCTGATGGTTCGGATAATGATTATGGTAAAACACGCGAATCTAAACCGATATCTGTTCAGCATTTGTCTGAACAAATTGGAGATTTGCATAAATTGTTGCAAGCAGCTGAAGGTCATGTCAAAAAATTGGTAGATGTTACCGAATTTGAAAGTGCTCATTATCCAGATCGAGAGAAAAAGCAGAAAAAACACAGTGCATAGCGTATAGCTAAATTAACTTTATTGAAATTTCACTGAATTTTATTATTTATTGTATTGCGATCAAAAATTTTATTTTTTAGCCTTTTATCATGTGATAATAAAAAAACTGACATTATCGTCCAATTCATTACATCATGTGTCACTAATGTATTCAATTGGTCGTCTGCCGTTCTTAAATATGTTCATGTGAATTATGTCAATTTATGCGAATTAAATGAATTAACACATTAAGAAATATATTTCTTTTTTAAAAAAATTTTTAAAATATATTTGGAATCATATTCTACTTGATAATAATAATAATAAGTGAACCGAGTATACTCTCTATATTTATTTAAACAAAGGCGTGTCAGAAAGAAATAAAACGAACTCATAATATGACCGACAGCAAGCCTATCATCAAGAATGTTGACATGACAGAAGAGATGCAACAGGAAGCTGTTGAGTGCGCAAATCAAGCTTTGGAGAAGTATAACATTGAGAAAGACATTGCAGCTTGTATCAAGCGAGAGTTTGATAAACGATATGGTACAACCTGGCACTGTATCGTAGGTAGAAATTTCGGTAGTTACGTGACTCATGGTACGTTAAACATATATTTTCTTTCTAAGATCTTAGGAATCAAGTGAAAATAGTTATAACTCATTTTCAAAATTAAAAGAATGAGGAATTTATGATTAGATTAGTATGAAATCTATTTTTGATAATGCATTCAGAAAATGCGCGTATATTCAACGCGATACTTTGAATTCAAATTTTATTTTTTTCTAACTTTCTTTTCATCCCATCTTTATAAGAAACGAAACATTTCATCTACTTCTATATCGGTCAAATTGCCATACTCTTATTCAAATCTGGATGAGAAAGATAGGGAAATATAATTATCTGATGATTTGAATATGAATAATATCTTTATTATTTCTTGTTGCCTTTATTATAATTATAACAAGGGAATTAATTTATGTTGAAGTTTTATATTCTAAGATTCCCTTCAAAATATTATTTTAGTTTATCAACATCTATATCTTTATTTGTTGCTTTTATTCATTTCTTTTGTTGCCTTTAATTTTTTTTTTTTGTGTACAAAGAAATTTTTTTATTTGCCATTTCGATCATATCATTAGAAAATTAAACAATGTATTAAGCAGAAGAAAAAAAAAAAAAAAAAAAAAAAAAAAGTGATCTAATTGTTTAAAATCTAAACTAAATGTTTTTGATTAATATACAAGAATTTATATTAATACAATAAATAAATAAATATTTTTCTTATATTTTATGTATTTATAATAACATTTAATAATAAACAGGATTTATAAGGAAATATATCATGAAGCACAAACTGTTATTCAGATATCCAAATAAGTGTTGCATCCAAATAGAATCTACTATGTAATTATAAACAAATCAATCTTACAACCTACTTTGTCAACAATAAGGAAAAATAATAAGTTTAATAAAGAATATTGAAAGGGGTTTTGTAATTTTTTTAATTACCCTTGTTTCTCTTGCCTTCAATTGATAAAATAAATTCTGAATATCTGTATTAGACTTTTCATTTCTTGAATGTAAAGCTTGCTACTTTTTTTTTATTTCTTGTTTATTGCAAATTTACTTTATCCTTGAAAATTTTATATATATTCACAAAAGTATTATTTTTGAAAGTTTTGTTGTTAACTTTGCTAATATCCAAAATCTAAAAAAATATTACAAATTTTATTTGTCTCTTTTACTTTTAGAAATTAATAATAATATTTTTTTTTATTATTTTTATTGTATATTATTATATCTAAGGGTAGTAAGTCCAATTAATATCAAGGCTAGCTCAATAATTGTATTTCTGAATAATTAATTTTCTATCAACTAAATTTTGTTTCAAAAGTTAATCTATACTAACTAAATACTGATTCATAGGTTAATTAATTTTGCACTGGCTAAATCCTGATACAATTCTTGATTGGCTAATACAACTCTGATTATGTTAATCTAATTAAATTATCAATTAACTTTATCAATATTAAAGATGAAACATATCTCATTTTGTAACTAAAAACCAGAGCTTTCTATATATAATAAGAATATCTTAGTAAAAAATCACTCCTTGTTACATAAAATCAAAGATAAGATTATTTAATAAATTTTATAATTGCATTATATTTTATAATATAAAATTATAGTATTTTTCATAATATAGTCTTTTTTATATTTATAAGTTTTAAAAGTTATATATAATATATAATATTAAACTTTTATTATCCAAAGTGTAATGAAGGACATTGTATTTCAGATATAATAAAAATCAAACTATATCATATAATTATTGTTATTAATCTTATTGTTACAATAATCATTTAAGGTAGTAATTCTAAATCTAAGAAAAAATAAAAGTTTTGTTCATAGTAACAAGTCCTTTTATATTTTATCTTTTAATTTAATTCATTGTGTTTTAAACTGTTCTAAATATTCTAAATCCTTCAGTTCAAATCACTGGTCTAATATAAATCTTTCAAATAAAATTACATATGATAGAAATATTTTAATATTTGCAAATACAAAATGTAAAAATATATGTTAATAACAAATTACTGTTTTCAGTTTTATAACAAGATTATAAAATAATAAATTAGATGTAATGTATTTATTTATTTATTTAATAATAATATGTTTTTAAATAATAAAAAAAATAGTAAATCAAATATGTCTTTAAATAATAAAGAAAATAATAAACCAGTTGAATTTTTTGTTAATAATATATTAGATTCTGAATTTGAAGATTATAATAATATTTTACCTTTAATAAATAGTTCTCTTATTATTGAAATAGGTACTTAATTCACTAGTCAAATACAAAAGAATTACTGTATCAAATGTAAGGTTGTTAACTGGAGTATAATGTTCTGGTATTAACCTAAGTTATATATCACTTCATCATGGAGTGAATTAAAAATCTAGTTTTTTGTACTAACCCAGAGTAAAATATTTTATTATAACCTGATAATTTTGCTTCGAATTGCTTCAGGTTATTCCAGATTACTTCAAGTTACTTTAGTAATTTGATTAATTAATCAATAACAAAATCATCGATCATTAATATATATATAACAATTTATTTTAATAAGTAAATATCAAAAGTAGTACTAAGAGATCATGTGTTCAATCTGCGGATCATCTATCAATTCACGAATTATCCGTCCAATTCGTGAATTATTTTTTTCCCGTAGATAATAAATTATAATTATTTACATCAAATAGAGCGATTTTGATAACCTGTGATCCAATTTTAGTGATTTATGACTCATTCGATTCTCCTCATCGAAATGAACATTCTGTAGTTTTTTTATCCAAATTGGACATATCTATACCATGTTATTAAATAAAACATGCTTAATCAGTAATAAAATTCTTTTATAATTATCCACATCAAATATCAATTTCAATAATCTGTGATCCAATTTTAGCGATTTATAGCTCATTTGATTTTCCTTATCGAAACGAACATTTCAGTAGTTGTTTTATTCAGATTGGACATTGTCACCAGTAGTCCTTGGTTTCCTCAAGAACCACCTAGTAAAGTGACTTTTCGGTTCTTTTAAAGAGTTTATAGTCCTTTCCCGAAGATAAGACTGTTGTTTCATTATTTTAGAAGGCACCACTGATTCAGTTATTTTAGAAAGGGAATCAGACCTTTCATTTAA